AAATTACATATTTTCCTTTGAACTATTTAAGAATTTAATAGGACTCTTTTGTGGCCTTTAAAGTTCTTTAGTGTTGGTGTCAGTCTCGAGGATTTATTAGGTGGATCATATTTAATTTACTTTTGATCTAAGTAGGATTTGTCTTATTAATATCTAAGAATTTTACTTCATCATTCTTTAGGGATATGCCTATACTTTTATCACAGAAGATCAAGCTCGCTATGCTGGTGACATAATTAAAGCTCTTGAATTGTCAGGGACTGCAGTGCCTCCTGATCTAGAGAAACTTTGGAGTGATTTCAAAGATCAACAGAAAGCTGTGAGTTTTTAAACTTGTGTTTCTTTTATGCAAATCATAATGTGAATACTTGATACTTGGACATCTTGATGGACTGTTTTGATTTATTTCTTTAAAGAGGAAAAAGTAAAAACAGCTCTCTTTCTTTGCTTGAATTTAATGTTTTATAAAGTTCTGTAGAGTTCTTCATTTTTCTTACAGACTAGGTGAAGCATTTCTGTTAAATTTGCAGGTACCACTTTGGAAAATATTTAAAATCTCTAATTTTAAAAATTTTTCTTTGAAAGGAAGGAAAAATAATTAAAAAGAGTAGTGGGTTCTCTGGTAAGGGATTCAAATTTGATGAAACCGAACAAGCTTTGGCTAACGAGAGGAAGAAATTACAAAAAGCGGCTCTTGGTCTGCAAGATTCAGATGATGAGGATGCTGCGGTTGATGTAAGTATATTCTAAGTTTCACTAATATCAATTGAAGTAATTATCCCTTCTATGCTAGAGGGCTGACCATAGGCTTGTTGAGGGAACCAGTCCCTAGAAACCTTGGCATGTACCCTCCCAATATTATTTTCTCTTTGTGTATTTTTATTTACTTATTTTTCCCTTCTCAACAACAGTTTGTAGAAATATTTTCATTTTAGAAGTTTACTTATATTATTCGTGATGACTTCATAACATTATATGCATATTTCAGAATTGAATGAATTAAACACCTGTTTTTGAATGTATGGGATTATTTTCATGTATTCACTATTTGGAATATAGCTATTATAAACTATATTTCATTGTTCATTCTTGTACATATAACTTTTGCACACCCACTAGATTACCATAGTTAATCCTCCCGTACATTTAAAAATATTGTATTAGTATTGTTTTTTGTTGTTGTTACTGCTGCTATGTTGATACCGGGTCTCTTTCCTTGGGCTCATGTGATCCTTCTTCCTTGCCTCCTCAATAGCTAGGACTACAGGTCCATGCTACTGCACCCAGCTATCAATGTTTTTTATTCTTTTTAAATTGAGTAATTATCAAATAGCTTTATTAGTAGTAATACTCAGAATTTGTTGAGTGCTACTAAGTAGCACATGCTGTGCCAAGTGCTTTACCAGGGATGTTTCATTACTTCCTCACAGTTGGCATATAAAGTACATACTCAAAATATTTGCCATTTTATAATCGAGCAGACTGAGGCTTAGAAAGAAATAATAACCTTTTCAG